TCATCATCGTCTTCTACAACCGGCTCACACTTGGATTGTGTGAGCACACCATCGTTCTCCAAAACTGAAAGGGTAGGGCTCGATCCATGCGAAGATTCTGAAGAGCGTTCTGAAATTGCTTCCTCGATTTTGTTTTCAACTTTTCATCTATTGAGGTGTGTAATTGAGGGTCCATGGTTTTCCTTCTCTTCTGATTTTTGGAATAAGGAGTGAAGATGAAGAAACAGTTCAAACCCTAAGTAGAAGGAGAGAGAAACTGGCCGAAGAAAAAATGGGGTGGGCTGAAACGGGTAGGAAGTTAAAGTGGGAAGGGACGGGTAATTTTAAGGTATTTTTTTAAAGTGGGAACTTAAAGTGGGAAGGGCATTGTAGTCACTTAGGGTATTTTTTTTAGCCTAATAAGGAAATGAGAACTTTTAGTTGGGACTACCAAAAAAGGAAATTGGGAACTTCTCCCTGGGACGGAGGGAGTATTTAAAAAGGTTGTTTCCTCAGTTATTTCATAATAAAGATCCTTCATCATTTCATTGTGATATGTGTGCACTTGCCAAACATCATAAGAATTCTTATATTCCCCATTGTTACAAACCAACTAGTCCTTTTACTCGTGTGATATTTGGGGTGCATCTAAAGTTTCTACTTTGAAAGGAAAGAGATGGTTTGTAACCATTATAGATGGATCACACGCGGGTAACATGGGTTTTCTTGATTAAAGAAAAATTTGAAGTTGAAGATGTGTTTAAAAAATTTTACTCAATGGTTCAGACTCAATTCAATACCAATATTAAAATGTTAAGAAGTGACAATGGCCGTGAGTATTTTTCTCAAAACTTGAACAATTTTTTTGCTGAAAAAGGGATTGTACACCATAGTTCTTGCATTAATACACCTGCTCAGAATGGCATAGCTGAGAGGAAAAATAGGCATTTACTTGAGGTCACTCGTGCAATTATGTTTTCAACTAGAGTTCCAAAATATTTATGGAGAGATGCTGTTTTACATGCTACTTATTTAATTAATAGGATGCCATAAAAAACTTTAGGGTTTAAAACCCCTATTGATACACTTCAAAAATGTTTTCTTACAACCAGACTTATCAACACTCTTTCCTTATTGTTAACAATCCTGACAGAACAACAAGCAAATTTGACCCTAGGGATACAAAATGTGTTTTTCTAGGACTGTCTTCAACTCAGAAAGGATATAAATGTTTTGATCCTACAACAAAAAAGATGTTTGTTACAATGAACACTAGTTTTGTTGAAAATCAACCTTTTTTTAATACTCATCTTGAGGGGGAGAATTCTAGTGAAGATGGTAATAGTGTACTGCATATTCATGAAAATCTTGAGTTCCTTGACATTAATCTAGATGCATATCATAGTAGAAACTTAGATACATCAGAAATAGTCAAGAACTAGAAGAAAATGAAATAAATATAACTGAAACAAGGAAAGAAGATGAGCAGCAGACAAGCAGATTTTTTGGCAAGGTTTATGAAAGGAGAGTTCCAAATCAAAGAATAGAGGACATCTCTGATTCTGCAACTGCTCAGGAATCTGACTGACTCAATACCAGCAAAAGAGAAAGGTAATAATTTCAGTGATCTAAATTTACCAATTGCTCTCAGAAAAGAGAAAAGTTCATGTGTCAGATGCCCCATCTCAAACTATGTGTCTTATTCCCAGTTATCCTTATCATTTGCAGCCTTTACCTCTAGTCTTTCTTCTATTGCAATTCCCTTAACCATACAGGAAGCTCTATCTAAACCTGAGTGGAAGAAAGCAGTTTTGGAAGAGATGAATGCTCTTGAAAGGAATCAGACATGGCAGATTGTAGGATTACCCAAGAACAAACCTACTGTAGGTTGTAAATGGGTTTTTACTCCTAAATTCAAGGCAGATGGAACACTTGAAAGGTACAAGGTCAGGTTAGTTGTCAAAGGATATACACAAACCTATGGCATAGACTATACTGAAACCTTTGCCCCAGTTGCAAAACTGAATACTATAAGGATTCTCTTATCTTTAGCTGCTAACCTAGATTCGCCACTTCAGCAGTTAGATGTGAAGAATGCCTTCTTAAATGGGAAACTTGAAGAGGAAGTATACATGAGTCCTCCTCCTGGACTTGAGGGTAAATATGGCTCAAAGGTGTGCATATTGGAGAAAGCCTTGTATGGACTTAAACAGTCCCCAAGAGCTTGGTTTGAGTGGTTCACCCAGTTCATAAAGAGATAGGGATTTCAGCAAGCTCAAGCTGATCATACTCTTTTTATGAAATTTTCAAGTAAGGGGGAGATTGCAGTATTAATTGTTTATGTTGATGATATCATTCTTACAGGGGATTATTATAAAGATACTGCAAGTTTGAAGGAGAAACTAGCCCATGAATTTGAAATCAAAGATCTGGGAGAACTGAGGTACTTTCTTGGCATGGAAATAACTAGATCAAAAAAGGGAATTGTGGTATCACAGAGGAAGTATGTACTAGACCTTCTTCAAGAAACAAGTATGAGTGTATGTAGACCAATAGATACCTCAATTGATCCTAATCAAAAGCTGGGAGATGTCAAAGAGGGAGTTCCAATTAATGTTCAACAATATCAAAGATTGGTGGGAAGATTGATTTATCTTGCACATGCAAGGCTAGACATTGCTTTTGCAGTAAGTATGGTGAGTCAGTTTATGCATAATCCATCCCAGGAACATCTTGATGCTACTTACAGAATCCTAAGGTATTTGAAAAGTTGCCCAGGGAAAGGATTATTCTTTAGAAAAAGTAACAGTAGAACTGTTGAAGCTTTTACAGATGCAGACTGTGCTGGTTCAATTACTGATAGAAGGTTTACTTCTGGGTATTGTACCTATGTATGGGGAAATCTAGTGACCTGGAGAAGTAAGAAGCAGAATGTGGTTGCTAGAAGTAGTGCAGAATCTGAATTTAGATCCATGGTTAATGGAATCTGTGAACTACTTTGGATCAAAAGAGTGATGTCAAAGCTGAATATGAAGATAGATCTACCTATGAAGTTATATTGTGATAATAAGGCAACCATTAATATTTCTCATAATCCAGTGCTACATGATCGGTCTAAACATATTGAAGTGGACAGACACTTTATCAAAGAAAAGATCGAAGCTGGGATTGTGTGTACTCCATTCATATCTACCAAAGAACAGACAGCTGATATCTTCACAAAGGGATTGTTCAAACCAGTGTTTGAACTACTTATAAGCAAGTTGAGAATGTATGATATATACTTCCCAACTTGAGGGGGAGTGTAGAAAAATGTGACATGTGTTTGTAATTTTTAATTAATGTACGTGTGTAGTGCATAGTTGTCATGGCGTCACCTTATCGTCACCACATCGTCTTGGCGCTAAGAGAGGCTCGCCATATGTTGTCGACTCGCCTTAAACCTTGTGATGTTGAAGTTACGTCCTTGTGGCGTCAGGAGAACGCCAAAGACGCCTAGGCGTCGAATTATTTGAACAGGAAGCAGGGCGTAATTATTATAACAGGCCCAAACCCAAACCCAATTTTTTGAACCCATCAAATAAAATAAACCAGTTCGATCCATCTGCGCTCGACGACTTTCCTAACGCAGCATCCATCAGTGCCCAATCCATCTCCCTGGTCCGTAGTTTTACTGCTTCAATTTTTTTCTAGACTTGGACTTTTTTACTTTTAACTTTAGTGTGTTATGTGATTCGTTTTTGTTTAGTTATTACTCTAGCTGGGTACGTGGGTTTAAAATCATCCAACTTTGTATATTTAACTTTGTATTTAATATTTCTCAAAAAAAAAATTGTATTTAATATTTTGTTGAATGCTTTGAATTTAATATTGTATTTGATGTGATGAACTGTTAATGTTTTACAGAAGGTCAAAAAGTTTTTGAAAAGTTAGTATTGTACTACTGTTACTATTTAAAGAAAAGTTTCAAGTTTATGAAAACAAATTTCAGTTTTCCCCAAATAATGAATAAATTTCAGTAGTTTTTTTTATTTATTTTATATTTCATACTCCCTCCGTCCCGAATTGAATTGCAAACTTTGACCGGCACACGGATTAAGGAATGACAATAAATGATGCTTGCTTTTTACACTTTTGTCCTTCATCCTAAAAGTAGATGCTTTTAAGTTGATAGAGAAAGAGTAAAAGTAAGGGTAGATTTGTCACTTTACTCTTATTTGCATACCTAAAATAGAAAGTGGAAAATCATTTTGGGACAACCAAAATAGGAAATTTTGCAAAACAAAATGGGACGGAGGGAGTATTTTTTTTCGGTGAATTCAATTTATGCTGAAATTATTGTGTTGTCTTATGGTTATGGTCTTATGGATTATGTTATTTATATGATTACATATTTTATTACTTGATTTACTTCCTTAGTAGTGTTGGCTATAAGTGTTACATGTAGGCCTTTTAGTATGTAAAACATATTATAAATTAGTAGTGTATATGTCGACTCATCGCCGCGACTCCGCCACGACGGGCGCCATATCGCCATGGCGGTATGGTAGTCCAAAGGCGCCGCGCCGCAAAACCCCGCCGTAACAACTATGGTGTAGTGTATTAGATAAGAATTAGAGCTGATAGAATGCTGATAGACTTCATTAATTATTAGATAAGCACGTAGATAGAAAGATCTTATTTTTTAGGATCTGAATAGCAAAGTTGTTATCTGTACTCTGGGTATATACTACTACCGGTTGGCTCATTAATATTCAAGGAAGTTTTATTCCTAAAACCTACAGTTGTACTTTTCAAAATTAATTCATTAATTTCATTCTCCCCTTCATTTTCTGTTTACTCTATTTTAAGTGGAGTAGGGAAAAAAAAGAGAAAATGTCTATAACAACCGAACTGATACGAAAGATATTTGACTGAGGATTAGATTTTCATCATGCTGTTTGTGTTCACTCATCAATGCAAGGATCTCACGGATAGAGAATTGTCATCCCTCCACCCGGTTCTCAATTCATTTGAAACAGATCTGGCATAGCAACCTATCTTTCAGCGATTGGTTAAGGGAGCATGCTGGAAAATCTCATTTGGACAAGTTAAAATGGACATACTATCACATCAACAAGAGTCCATGGTGAGCATTCTCTCAAACGTTCATTTATGTCTTGGGATATCTCTCTTCCTTGAGCCTTAGCTATGTTTGGAACCCATAAAATTGTTGAGAAAGGAAAAAACGGAAGTAAAATATTTGGTACCCATGTTTGGTTTTACACTTGTACTTTAGAAAATTGTAGGAAAATCAAATATATTTAAATTAACCTTTTGTCCGTATTTGATTATAACCTTTTCATACTTTACATATATTTAGATTTCTTAGTTTTAATGTAAAGTATGAATATATACAGAAAACTGAACACATAATTAAAATCGATTTACTGAGTTGAACCAATTTTAGCATTTCCCCAACTTTTTTTTCCTTCATATTTTCCCACTAATTTCCTCCTAATTTTGTTTCCATAGTATTGTCAGGTTCCAATTGGAGCCTTGGTGAATGGTTTCTTGGTAAACGCAAATTTATTTGTAGTGTATCGTTGATACTTTAACATAAGAAATAATTACAGACTTATGACTAAGATTAAGGTTGTTTACAAAAATGTGACCTCTTAAGTGTAGTGACTATAATAGTAAGTAGTAACTTCTTAGGTTCAAATTTTTAGTCATATTTTTGTAAATAAGCTTTATTTCAGTATTTTTTTGGGGAAAAAACTCTTAACATAAATCAACATGAATGAAAGATAATATTTGAGGTTTCCATACAATTGGGGAAACAAGTGTTCATGCATGAAGTATTTGGAGAAATGCTACAAGGAAAATGTTTTCTCAAACCAGTAAAAGAAGGGAACAAATGTAAAACAGAGAAGCAAAACCAGAAAAGTGAAATTTAGCCAAGATCCTCCTTGGCTATAACTCTTAGACTACTTGCATCCCTGCGCCGTCAATAAATTAAAATTCAACTCCGTCAATATGAAAACGGCGACATCTCTCCGTCAATACAGTTTTTCTTTGCATTTCAGTACCGTCAATAAAATTCACTTTACATTATCGGGCTTATAAACATTACCTAATTATTATAAGCATTGTTTTTCTTTGATTTTATTTTCTGAATAATTATAAACTTTAAAAATGAACATTTCAATGTAAAAAATTAAGAGTTGGTTAAATTATTACTACCTCCGTCCCTTTTTATTTAGCCATCTTTGACTTTTTCAGTCAAAGGTGATTAACTTTGATCAATTATTTTAATTAACATATTGATGTAAAACATAATAAATTTATACTTTTGTGATAGTATTTTCAACAAAGAACATTTTCATATAATTTTCATTTTATCAATATTATCGTGTATAAATATATAATCGGTCAAAGTTGAACAACTTTGACTTGAAAAAAGGTGTTTGGCTAAATAAAAAGGGACGGAGGGAGTATTTTTTACTTATTTCAATTTAAGATAAAGGAAAAATGAAATATATTATTTGAACTGTTGGATTTCAGATTGGGCTTTCGGATAAATTTTCCCGTTCAAACGCATCCCAGCCATTTGATTTACCCAAAATTTTGAATATAAGTTGCTGGTGTGGGATGATGGCATGCTGACGTCACATGCACGTTTAAATTTCTTTGCACACGGCTGATAAGCAGTGGGCCCTGCTCCTGTGCATGTCTGCTGCACCTATTTTTTCCTCCGCTTTCTTCCGTTTTGGCCTAGCGTGGGAGTCGATCGTGAGAGCTTATACCAACTCCCCCCTTCCACTATCACCCCCCCTCACAATTAGGGATGTCAAAAAAAAACCGCCCCGCAATGACCCGCCCTGACCTGAGACATTTGGGGCGGGTCCGCCCCGCCCCGAGACATTTGGGGCGGGTCCGCCCCGTCTTGCAAATGGGGCGGGTCTGCCCCGCCCCGTCTATACAATGGGGCGGGTCCGGGTATTAGTATTGACCCGACCCAACCCGACCTGCTCAATATATAACTATACATATTTTTTCTTAAATTATACTACAAATATACATCAACATACATATGTGTGTATACAATAAATCATCATTTTTTTATCTTATTATATATATATATATATATATATATATATATATATAGGGCTGTTCCTGTACATATGGATGCACGGGAGGCTCCGTGCAGACAAAGCCATTAGAGGCCCTTCCCGGTGGAATTTTTTGATGAATTTTTTTTAGCATGTTCTTCATTAAGTCTAGTTTATCCATACCAAATTTCAGCTCAAAATTCAATCGGGAAGGCAATCAAACAAATTCTTGAAATATACTGCACATTATATGTGCGCAGAATGCTCCATACATTTCAAGAATTTATTTGACTGCCTTCCCGGTCGAATTTTGAGCTGAAATTTGGTATGGATAAACTAGACTTGATGAAGAACATGCTCAAAAAATTTCATCAAAAAATTCCACCGGGAAGGGCCTCTGATGTCTTTGTCCGTACGGAGCCTCCCATACATCCATATGTACATGATCATTCCTCTCTCTCTCTCTCTCTCTCTCTATATATATATATATATATATATATATATATATAGGGGTGAGATCACATACTAACCATTCCTCCCATGCTAACCTACAAACTATCAAAAACGGTGCATCTTTACATTATTTGTACTGCATATTGAAGTTCAAAGTGTTGCATATTATTTGTACTGCATATTAAAGTTCAAAGTTTTGCATATTGTTTTTATTGCATATTGAAATTCACAGTGTGCATCTTAACATTATTTGTACTGCATATTGAAGTTCAATGTGTTGCATATTATTGAGTTAGTAAGTTAGTATTTTAAGCATGGTTAGTATGTGATCTCTTATCTATATATATATATATATATATATATATATATTAGAGTGAGATGAACGACGGATTATCAATGTCTTCTTTATATATAGCATTTTAATACATATATTCAATTATTAATATAATTAAATACTCCCTCCGTCCCATTTATATTGTCCCGTTTTACCTTTTCGGGAAGTCCCACTTAAATTGTCCCATACCATATTTGGCAAAGTTTGTGTGACTCTAAATCATTCTTACTTTATCAATTAATATCAACCACACAAACCCACTTTTCTTAATAACTGTGCCACCCTCTTCCGGGACAATATAAATGGGACGGAGGTAGTAGATTAACTATTCAAGTATGAGTAATTTTTCCTTAAATTTCGAAATTTTTAGCGTATCATGAATTTGATTTAATATATTAATTTTTAATTATTATTTAGAGATAAACTTTATGTAGATTCAATAGGTAACAACTTCCCACAAATAAAAATACATACTAGCAAATTAGGTTACGACGAGGCGGACCCGCCCCGCATGGGGCTGGTAATGGGTCAACAAGTTTGGACCCGTGCAGGTCACATGGCGGGGCGGGTCCGGGTCTTGCAGTACCCGCCCCGCCCCGACCCATTGTAACAAATTAGGAGTCAAAATTACCATCTAAAACACTTTTGACTTCTAATTCCTTTGCCAATAAAGATGGTCTAAGTGACAACTTTCTATTAATCTTTATTCTTCCATTTTGATCCAAGCCATGTATTACCGTATTGGTACCTAATTTTTAAAATATAATCTAACATAGGCCATCTCATTCAACCTTTTAATTTAGCATGTATTTTATTTTTTGAAAGAGTTCCTTGTATACTTTATCTGCTCTTATTTGTGTGTCTTCATTGACCAAATTTATATTTTTCATTTTTATTTGTCTTTAAAAGAAATCTATGCACATTAAGCATATATTTCCCCCACTAATAAAAATAACAATTTGTAGGTCCTGTTTGGATGAAAATGAGGCATTTTTGACAACTGCAGACTCAGCTATCAAGCTAATTCCTGAGGCTACGAAGCCTGTGACCGGGTGGATAGGTCTTGAGTATAGACTAGCATTTCCTGTTATAAAACCACCTGGTGCCAATTTTTATCCATCAGATATGGACAAAATGGTAAGTATAGGAAATGAGTTTTTTGCTGCCTGCAAAAATTTAATTTGACTAGATATTTTTGCAAGACATTACTCAGTGGGGAAGGGTTTTCTTTCTTGTTTAATTAAATACCCACTCTAGCTTTTATTTTAAAGTGTTCTTTTTATGATTAGGAATTTTCATTGTGGATAGACAGTCTCCCTGAGGATAAAAAAAAGGAAGCAACGGGATTCTTTAATGTGATCAAAAGGCACAGTGAATCTGAAATCATGGACATACCAAAATCTCGAAATGCCTCAACCTCTTTTCATGACCTATATATCGTTCCTTATTGGCAAGAATACAATTCTTTGCTTGTTGAAGCTGCAAAGTTACTACATGAAGCTGGAAATATTACAAGCTCGCTCAGGTAATTATTGTGCCCAATCCCCTAAAATATTTGAAATGTTTGGGTGATGGAAATCTGATTATACAAATTCGTCTTTCCTCCTTTAGTTTGAGAAGACTTTTACACAGCAAAGCAGACGCCTTCCTTTCCAATGATTACTACGACTCGGATATTGCCTGGATGGAGTTGGTAATCTATTTACTGGACTATTTATTTCCACTAGTTCATATGTGTGGGTGTGTATTAAAAAAAGGTAATGAAAATCCTGCTCCCCATGTGATGATATATAGTAGGGTAGGGATCAACTATTATCAGGTTTTAGGTAACGATGGAAACTATGTTTAGTCTATGGTTAAATCTGTCTTTAAATATGAGATATTGAGTTCGAGGGTCGGGTTATGACTAGGGAAGAAGCAATGAAACGATTCACCTTCGGCGATGCAATTCGGAAGAGAATATCACAATATTAGACTCTTTCTCTAGGTAAACCAACATATGTAATTGAAATAACATTTTAAAATTACAATTAATATTTTTGATGCTTCATGGTGTAATACTTGCTGCCAAAATATATAGTATCAGTTTATAACTCGAAAAACATTAGAAGAAAATGGAAAGAAATTTTTGGAGAAAATAAAAGATAAGCTCAAACTAAACCAAATTTTAGGATATGCATGAGACTTGTATTAGAAGTGTTCGAACTAGTGTAGGATTGCAGAGTTTTATATTACTGTCAGAGTGCACCAAGGAGATATACCGTGGTGCATAATGTTTACCGATAATATTGTATTGATTGATGAGACATAATCGAGTGTTAAATGTGAAACTGGAAGTATGGCAACAAACATTGGAGATCAAGGGTTTCAAACTAGTTGAAGTAAGACTGAATATATGAAGTGCAAGTTTAATGGAGGTAGTAGTGATAGCAGTGGGATTACCCTCAATGGCAAGGAGATACCGGTCTGTGGTGTGTTCTGTTCATGGTTGTCAACGGCGAGAAATGACACATGCGCCATGTGACTAGGGTTGTAAACAAACTGAATCGAGTCGAATAATGTGATTTTGTATTTGTATTTGTTTATTTTTTTCAAATCTGAATCCGAATATGATTCGAATATTATTTTCGATTTGTATTCGTATTTGTTTAACAATACGAATAGATAACGAATCATATACGAATATCGAATCGATTTGATCATAAGTTAAATATTAATCAAATATCACTTTAAAACATCTTTTGATATATTTCTTATGTTAAAAATGCATGTTATGACTTAATATGTGTTTTTAGAATTTAATTTGTAACATTACATTTTTCTTTAAAATTTAATGGATCGATGCATTTTTAGGTTGTGCGCAATATATTCAAGTGAATCAATTTTATGATTACTATACATAAATATATTTCAAAGTTTTTTAAATAAACACTGATACACACATATTAAAAATTATACCTATAATGTGTGAAATAAGTTGATAATTGTATATATCAAAGTGAATCGACTCTAATTTTATGTTAGATATTTAGCATTGTTGATAATAAAAAAACATCATTAGATATATAGTTTATACTACACATATAGTGGGTAGTTGATGCACACAAAAATACTAGATAGTTGATTTTGTTTATGTATAAATGAATATATATATATATATTTCATTATTATTCGAATCAAATACATAATTATTTGTATTCATATTTCAAAGATGTTTGAACCAAACATTTGATTTGTATTCGTATTTATATTCTATATTTTTCAAATTTAAATCATAATTTATGAATCCAAATCACAGATCAAATTAAAATTATTTGTTTCGTTTACAACCCTTACTCCTTATGATACTTCTGATTTATTACAAATTGGCTTGGAATGTGTATACATAAATGTATATATGGGCTACACTTTGAGGGTATAGCTAGCTTTTAAAAGTTATTATAGTCTTATTACTACTATTACTATTATTAATCGAATATATTTTTTGATTAACATTCGAATCGAATATACTAATATTTGCATTTGTATTTGATAACAATTCAAATCAAATTTAGTATTCTTATTTGTATTTGAATTTTCGAATTCAAATCGTCTTATACGAATTCGAGTCCCGAATCGAGTATAAATTATTTGATTTGTATACAATCCTACATGCGACATATGGCGACAAAACCCTCCATCACCATGAAAGGTCCTCTCGGCGATGACCATACACATAGCAGCGCCATATCAACTTATGACCACCAGTAGATATCACACCACGTACTTATCTCACACACAACCAGACATTGCTTTCTTAGTCAGTGTGGTGAGTCAATTTATGAATGATCCTACTGAGTAGCACCTCAATGCAGTCTATAGAATTCTGAGGTACTTGAAAATGACCGTTTGACTTGTCTATGGCAGAGAACCACCCAAGCTTCTGTGTTATACCCCAGGAATTGCCAAAGTGTACAGCATTGACCGTGAGCTCCTTGACCGCGATGCCATCCTCGTTGCTGCCAAAGACCGTTTGACCCAAGCTCAACAGAAAATGAAGCTACAGTATGATAGAGGTCATCATGAGGTAACATTTGCTCTTGGAGGTTGGGTTTGGCTACGCACTCACCCTTACAGGCAACTCACAGTTAGCCGTGGTCACTACAAACTTTTTCCAAAGTTCTTTGGGCCTTTTCAAGTTTCAGAAGCTATTGGGCTCGCATTGCAGCGGATGCAGCCTACCGCCTCACCTTGCCATCGGGTACCCACATTCATAATGTGTTTCACGTCTCCCTTTTGAAGCCTCACTCAGGTCCAACACCAGCACAAATGGGTGCTGCCAGTCTGCCACCTCTCGCTGCTTCTTCTGGCTCATCTGCTCATCCCTTAGCTGTTTTGCTGGTTCGCCACAGCAATGGTCAGTATGAGTTCTTGGTACATTGGGCGTGTAAACTGGAAGCTGAGGCAGTCTGGGAGAATTATGCTATATTTCGGGAGACCTTTCCGGATTTCAAGCTTGAGGACAAGCTTGTTGCTAACGAAGGGAGTAATGATACATGACATTTTGGTTGTGTGTACCAGAGACGCATAAAAGGGGCCTAGTTAATTAATTGTCCACAAGTTGTCCTAATTATTTCCCTTTAGTTATTGTAGTTGTTTCCTTTGTATTCTGCCTTTCTGTACTTGTTTCCATTTATTTAGCCTTCCTTATTTTAGGCAGTCTCTTACTTATTAATGAGTCTGTAATATTGTTTAGGAAACTTGTTGTTGCCTATTTAAGGCCTATCAGTTTGAATAAAATATTAAGTTTGGATTAATTAATCTTGATTTGCTGGTGGAGCTAGGGATCACCTTCCTTGCCCAGGGTAGGAAGTTAGTTTTTTTTTATATTCGAACGTCATAGCTTGAGATCCCGTCTTTGGACAAAATCCTGTACCAAGGCCCTTAACACAAAGGATGATGAGGGGGTGGATACAAGATTAGTTTCGTTCATTTTCAACACCTGCAATAAATTTGTAATGCACTTGTGTTGATCAAGAAAGAGTCAGTTGGTGTAGGTGTGAGTCGTGTGACCAGTCATGTAAGGATCCTTAATAGAATTTTTTTGTGCTAGCAAGTCAATAGTCCTTTGAATTATCGCAGGAGTAGACTCACTGACAATGATATCATCCACATACACCAGCACATAGATGTAGGCATGATGAGAAGAAAATATGAAGAGACAAGAATCAGAAATTGAATCCATGATGTTGTTTCATCTAAACTTCCTCTTGGAGATTCCCATGGAGGAATGCATTATTGACATCCAGTTGATTGATCGGTTAACCATGGGAAAAGGTAATGGTCAGGACAACCCAAATAGTGTCTGATTTAATAACCGGGCTAAAATTGTCGGAGTAATCAACTCCTGGGTGCTGATGAAAACCCTTAGCCACCAATCGAGCATTGAAATGATTCAGAGAACCATCTGGCTTATATTCCACCATGTATACCCATTTGCAACCGGCAACATTCTGATTAGGATGAGCAGGGACAAGTTCCCAAGTTCCTTGTTGAACCAATGCATCAAATTCCACAAACAAAAGGCGAAGCCGTGGGTTTGATTTGTTCTTCTCTCTTTGTATCTACCTGTAAAGCCTTAGAAGCGCAAGTAGGAATACTATGATGAGGTAATGGTGATTGAGTGACAATATTGGCTTGTTTGCGAGGGCAAAGGGTCATCGAATGGGTACATTTGGGTGGATAAGTATTTGAATCATGATGTTGGTGTGAGGAGAACATGGGAGCATTGGTAGTGGTGGTTGGGGAAGTGGTAGTAGGTTCATTAGGTGATGGTTGGGTAGGGGAAGGGGCAGGTGGTTTTTGTTTAGGTCGGCAGTGATATGTGATGAGAGCTCGTGGATTGGGCATGGGTTTAGTGGTAGTATTGCTCTGAGGATATAGAGCAGAGGGGGTAAAACCAGATATACCAGGAGATTCTTGTTGAGCTGGGATATGAGTTACCGGGGATGTCTTGCTACCGGTGTATCTGACATAGGAATATAAGAAATGGGTGGCTGAAGCCAGTAATCAATCTCAAAGGATAGATTTGTAATTGAAGACGATAAATATTGTAACTGAAATCCTAGAATTTAGATTCTTCTTTACATAATACCCTTAAGAATTCAAATGGAAGATTGCCTCATGCTGTACATAATCTTATTGTATAGATCCGCATGACCTGACCGTGTATTAATACTTAGGTTAAAAGTTAAAACTGTTGAATGGAGTGCTTTGGAGTCACTCCACTCCTCACTCCCAAAAAATGATCCCATCTGATCTTTCCCCCTATGCTTCATCTGATCCCACAGTCCCCTTCTAGATGTTAGGCCCCAGCTAGCAACCCGACGAGCATGATTTAGAACTTTTAGCCATGACATGAACTATGTCCGCGGGAAGTTAATAATTAATTGATAGGCATCTTGATCTTTGTTGGCTTTCATTGTGACCTGAAAGTTTTTATCATCCTTTTCACCATATGTAGGACTCAAAGTTGGATGTAACTATTGGCCCATATGAAACCTATGAGGATTCAATTTTTGGATATAAGGTATCTTGCTGTCATAACCTACATGTGCAACCTTGGTTTTATCTATATACAATAATGTTTCTATCACTGAATATGATTCCTTCTCTTGGTTCCAATTACGAACTATGTTAATCTGTTGATAGAAATCTTGTTTTTTGTGTGCACTGTTTAACAAACAACAAATACTTTGCTTAACATTTTCTCCTTAGGCTACGTTTGAGGCATTTATTGGTGTCCGAGATGACAAAGCAACAGCTCAAGTAAAGCTGTTTGGTGACCATTTGCAGGTGCAGTTTAGATTTATCCAAACACATTCCTTAATTTGATGCCATTTTTATTAGTTTAGCTGAATAGTGATGGCAATGTCGATCTAGGTTTTGGAAAAGAACCTTCCAATGGATAATGTTTATAAGTCGAAAGATGTGACATGTGCTCCTATTCGGGTAATCCAGCTTCTCTACAATTCAGGGGTGAGTATTAGATTAAGAGCCCGTTTGGTAAGATTGACTTGGTTGAACTCGCTGAAAGTGGCTGATATTGATGCAGATGCTAAAACTTCTTATTTGTGAATATATGCTGGAATTACATTATATTGATAAGAAAAATAAAAGAGGAAAAAGAGACAAAAAGCAACTCCAGACCTTACTTTATTTCATTATTAACCACTTCAAAGGAAATGAGACTGATAAGACTAGTGTTTGGTAAAACATGCGACTGCTAAGATTATTAAGCCTAACAAAAGTGGCTACCAAGCTGCCACAAGTTTAAACAGCAGTTATAATTCGGTTAGGTCAAAATATGGAGAAAAGAGACCTTTATAACTCAGTTGTTCCATTGTTTGGTAGGATGTAAAGGGCCCACAAACAGTTGCGTTCAATCTTCCAAATGATGAGAGGATTGTGAAAGATAGAGGAACATCTATGGTCCTGCTTAAGAATGTTTCAGAGGCAAAGTAAAAGTCTCTCTCTCTCTAACTCTCTCTCTCTCTCCCCCGTTTAATGGTCCATTTTTTCCCTTAATCAATGCTTAGGTTTAAGCTCATTCTCCAGCCTATAGCTGATGCGTGTGTCAGCAAGGAACTTAGGAAGCTTGTGGATTTTGAATCTTTCTTTACTCACACAATATGCCACGAGTGCTGCCATGGCATTGGACCTCATACCATCAAACTCCCAAATGGGAAGACCTCCACAGTAAGATTGGTGAGTTTTAACTTGATTTATTATTTATTTGTTTTTAAATTGATATCGCCTACATCCTGCCTAATCCTGCCCAGACGCCTAGGAGTTAAGTCCCATTTAGCTACAACCTATCGTGTAGCTTTTTTTAGAACTCATAATGATGTTTGATGAGTCTTATTAGTTATTAGGTTAGTGTTCTAATGATACTTTGTTATCTCTTCTTTTGTTCTCTATCGTAGGAGCTGCAAGAGCTCCATTCATCAATGGAAGAAGCTAAAGCTGATATTGTGGGACTTTGGTCCCTAAAGTTCCTAATTGATGAGGTAATGAATGAGACACAACCCAAAAACTCATATTTTCTAGCAAACACTGACTTAACAGCATTCACTGAATCTGCTTAAGAAAAAATACTCCACAGGGAGTTATTTTTTTATGTTGAAATGATCGAAATGAAGATATATGACAAGATTGTTTAGTTGGATGGAACAGTGAATTTCATATGCCATTCCCTTCTTATGATATAAACTTAACAACGCAGCAGAAAACATGGTAGTATATTTGTGAAATATAAGATTATATTCATTATACTTCATAATGAATTGCTATACAAGTAGCTCTATTTATAGCAATATTAGAGCATTAGGGTTTCTATACATAAATGGGCTAAGCCCAATACAACTAGGGTTTTCACACTCCCCCTCAAGTTGGAGCATATAAATCATACGCACCAAGCTTGTTACAAATATACTCTACTCTAGGACCTCTAAGAGACTTAGTTAAAACATCTGCAAGTTGATCAGTTGTGCTGATATATTTTGTGAAAATATGTCCAACTAATATCTTTTCTCGAATAAAGTGGCAATCAACTTCAATGTGTTTAGTCCTCTCATGATATACCGGATTTGATGCAATGTGCATTGCTGTTTGATTGTCACCCAATAATTGAACTGATTTTGTGCTCCCATATTTTAGTTATTGGAGTAGATGCTTCAACCACAAGATTTCGCATGTGGCAAGGGCCATCGCACAGTATTCTGCTTCAGCACTGGATCTGGCAAACACATCTTGTTTCTTACTCTTCCAAGAAATTAGATTTCCACCGATCAAGATGCAATATACTAAAGTAGAACGTCTATCCGTCGGACATCCTGCCCAATCTGTATCACAGTATCCCACAATATATCACGATGACCTCGGTCTTCGAATAGCAACCCTTGTCCTGGTGTTTTCTTGATGTATCTCAAGACTCGAGTAGCTGCATCCCAATGACCATTACAAGGCTGGTGGGAAAGCTAATCTACTTATCTCACACATGGCAAGACATTGCTTTCTCAGCAAGTGTGGTAAGTCAATTCATGAATGACCCAACTGAGGAACATCTAACTGCAGTCTATAGAATTCTGAGGTACCTGAAAAGGAAAAGGGTTGTTGTTTCAAAAACTTGGGACAAGGAAGATTGAAGTGTTTACCGATGCTGACTGGGTTGGAAGCCTTTTAGACAGAAGGTCAACTACTGATTACCATACTTATGTATGGGGTAACTTAGTCACCTGGAGGAGCAAGAAACAATAAGTGGTTTCGAGAAGTAGTGCAAAGTCAGGGCTTTAGCACAAGGAATCTGTGGATTATGGTGATAGAATTGATCAATTCTATAACAATTCACAAAGAAAGATCAAGAAAGCAATCTGCAGTTTTGTTATTAAGAGAGAGAACATGAACAATTACAAAGGCCGTAGCCCCCAAAAGATAGAGTCAACACTCTGATCTTCCCAGCCAAGACTCAATAGTCCAAACAGCCTGGCCTTCCCTTCCCAGCTTTATTCTATTTATAAGATTCTCAACTAACAGAAAGTAGTTAATAGCTATAACCGTACTAACTATCAACTATTTATTCTATTCCTCCTTCTAGCATACACCCGGTCAAAGTATTTATTCTTTTCAGCTGCATCCTATGAATACCCCCCCTCTGAACATCCAACTTGTCCTCAAGTTGGAACTCTGGGAATTGTTCTTTGATTACTTGTTCCTGCTCCCACGAATCTTCAAATTCAGGTAGGTCTTTCCAATGCACCAGAACTTCTTTCTCACCAGCCCTATTGAATCTGACATCTTTTACTTCTTCAGGATTAACCTTCAATTCACCCTCTTCTGTCAAGCATTTAGGGAGATCCTGATAAGTAGTAGTAGGTGTCAGCACCTTCTTTAATAAAGATACATGAAAAACCGGATGTGTCTGACTCCCATCAGGTAATTTGAGTTTGAAAGCCACGGGGTTGATCTTCTCTATTATCTCATAGGGGCCATAGAATCTGGGACTCATCTTTTGATTGATTCTCTTGGCTAAGCTTCTCATCTTATAGGGCTGTACCTTCAGAAACACCATGTCACCAATTTCCAGTTTGATTTCCCTTCTGTGTTTGTCAGCCTGCTGCTTCATTTGATTTTGAGCTTTAGCTAAATGATCCCTTAGCTCTTTAAGTATCTCATTCCTTTCCGCAGTCAATCTGGATACTTCAGCTACTGTATCTAGCTACTGAACTCATAGTGACATCACCTCTGACAACAATAGGAGGTGGTTGTCCAAATAAAGCTTGGTATGGTGTGTTGTTTATGGATATATGGTAATTGGTATTATACCAAAATTCTGCCCAAGGTAACCATCTTACCCAATGTTTAGATTTTCTGCCAGTCATACACCTCAAATAGGTCTCCAAGCATCTGTTTACCACCTCCGTTTGCCCATCACTTTGGGGATGGTAGGCAGTGCTATACTTCAATTGTGTACCAGCTGATTTCAATAATTCAGACCAAAAAACACTCAGAAAAAGGCTCTCTGTCGCTAACAATGGATTTAGGAAATCCATGTATCTTCACCACTTCCTGTATGAATTGTTGATAAAACGAAGAGACATCTTTAATTTAAGATTTTATTACTGTAATTATGAGTCTTTAGTGTTTCAGGTTGTAATTAATAGCTGTTGTCTTTTCAGTTCATAATCATTTATGTTTAGTATTCAGACAGTCACCTAGGGTACTGAATAGACTCTCTCAGGCTCCTATCTGTATAAATAGCTTATGTACTTCTTGTAAATGATTCATTGAAGAAGAAGAATATACAGAAAACTTCATGGTATCAGAGAACGATCTCGTACCAGCCTCTTTACTCTTAATCATCTTTCCAACAGTCTACTAGGGTGTCTCTACCCGCCTCTCTGTTTATCCTCGGGTGCGAATCTCTTCACCAACGGTTCTATCATGTCTAAGGAAACTGAATCAACCTCAAGTAACCTCGACCACTCAACCATCGTTTCAGCTGCTACTGCAGCCGCGTTTGCTCTTCGAAACCAGAAATTTGATTTCCCTTCTATCCCGCCATCTTACCGTCTCAATGGCAGGAACTATCTTGGATGGTCAAAGCTGGTTTATACTCTCTTGCGTGGCAAAGATCTTGAAGACTATCTCACTGTCTCTACCCCAGAAGAAGGAGATATTGATGCTGCTATTTGGGAGAAAACTAATGCCAACATACGGGTCTGGTTATGGAACTCTATGGATCCCAACATTAGCAGTACATGTTTATACATGGACTCAGCTAAAGAAATCTGGGATTTCATACAGCAATCCTACTCCGTTGCCAAAGATGGCGCTTTTGTCTATGACTTATGGCTCCAAACAATGAACCTTAAGCAAGATTCACAATCTGTTACAGATTATGCAACTGACCTCCAACGACGATGGTCTGAACTTGACCAGTATCAAACAATGAAGTGGTCGAATGCTGCAGATGCAGCTCTTCACAAGAGCTATATAAATCAGCAACGTCTATATTGCTTCTTGTCTGGTTTAAATCCCGAATATGATCAGACTCGGGGTCAAATTCTTGGCATTACTCCTCTGCCTTCCCTATCTTCTGGCATTGCCACTATCAAACATGAAGAGAGTAGACGCAATATAATGATGAATACAAAGCTGATTGACAGTACAGCTCTTGCTGCCAAATCTACTCCTTCAGATGTCAAGGAAACTAAGGGTAGTAAGGGAGGAAGATGGTGTGATCATTGCAAGCGGTATGGTGGTGATGTAAGGTGCGGTCTGAAAATTTCTAAGGTCGGGGGCAGACTGTATAAGGATGCTAACTGATTTTCTGAAAAATAAGCTCATTGCTAATTGATTTTCCGATTTTGTATGGCTCTGATACCATGTTGAAATATAGAGTATAAATTGGAATAATATTTGAAGAGGGGAGGATTTTTTGTGTGTTTGTTGATGGGCTTAAGTATGTTTTTATTTGGATTGAAATTTTCTTGTCTGGTCTGATTTGGTCTGATTTGTTTAAGTCTAGTCTAGTCTGCTCTCAATTGATTTGTTCTTGTCTGATTTGACTTGGTTTGTTTAAGTCTGGTTTGGGACTGAAACCAGTCCAAGTAAAAACATCCCAAGTCTATAAATATACATTACAATATATAATATTCCTATAAAATTCTATACCATAATAATATCGTAGAGTATATTCCTAAAATATTCCAAAGCATATTCCTACATTTATGTTTATGGTCAAAGTAGGGTATATGAACACTGTAAAAGGCAATATTTTGCAGTTAATTGGAAGGGGAGGAATTATATATGTGTGTGTGTAAATATACTAAAAAAACTTTTAAAGGAAGGATCTTATGTAGCTTTTCTCAATGCGGGACAGGGTTTGCTTCCGAAGAGCCTAGTGAGATCAATGTATGTCTCATTTCTTGCTGGATGCTTCCGTTCAGTTCGCTTTGGGTTAGAGGAAGCTCATGGGTATATTATGGAGCCATTATGTGATCATTATCATAACCGTTTGTGGACTTTACTACTAGTAATTCTGTGATGATTTTGAAATACTACTAGCAGAAAAGGACAAGCGCTTCAGTTCAACTATATGTTTGAGAAAGGTGCGTTTGTTTTACAACATGACGGGGCTACCTTCTCCGTTGACTTTGATAAGGTAAAATATACGTAAGTACTCCTTTACTAATTAGTAGTGCATCTATTGGGGGTTGAAGCAAATTGCTAATTCTACTATGGTGTGGAAGGTTGAGAGTGCTGTTGAAAGCTTGAGTAGGGAAATTCTTACGATACAAGCAAGAGGCGATAAAGATGGTGCAAGAATGCTACTTCAGAAATATGGTGTTATGACTCCACCCTTGCGAAGTGCTCTCGAAAAACTTGAAATGATTCAGGTATGAACATTGAGTGAGCAATTGAGCATAGATTGAGTTTGTAGAAGACCTCTAATTATATACACATAAATATAAACAAATATATGCATATAGATTGCGGTTCAAATAAATGAGAGTTTTGCATGAAAAATGCGAATGAGTGCACTTTTGGATGGATTTGATGCAGATGCACTTTTTGTGGTAGCAGCAGAGCAAAGTTCATTTAACAAAGTTTACATCATTTTTTTTTTGTCTAAATGACCGCACAATTAGCATGTTTTAAGCCATTAGATCTCAAATCTAATGCCTCAAGTTTATTCTTACTTTTCATAGGAATGACTTTATTTTATTTGAACCAGTACACACACATAGGGTGCATCATTCCCTATGAAATCCATTTCATAGAAAGTGATGTTCCCTTGAAAAGTGTGAAATCCATTTTTGACCGTATACAGTGCAATCTTGCATTCAAAAGATTTCCGCTTTTCACTTTTGACAGATTTAGGGGTGCAAAAAGCGAAAGCGCATAAAACACAAACAAAAACAAAATTTTAGATAAAACGTTAACAAATAATTTAGTAAATAATTTTAAAAAACTACTTAAATGATTAGTGGAAATAATGATGCTTGATTTTAATAATGAAATATTTGGCAATAAGAAGTAAAATTATTAACAAATCTAATTATTTTCAATTAGGATAAAATTAAAATAGAAAGCACTTTGAAATAAAGCCAAAGAAGCAACTATCCATAATTGAGATAAAAGCTTATATGGATGAATATTGTAGCATATAATATTCTCTCTGTCCTAGTTTAAGGTTCTCACTTTTTGGGGGGCGTCTTAGCTTAAGGTTCTCATTTCTATTTTAGGAAACTATTAACACTCTTAAATGACAATTTAATCATCAAATAATAAAAATAGTACATCTATAACATGACAGTTATCATTAGTGACCACATTATACTCCCTCCGTCCCTTTTTATTTAGCCAAACACCTTTTTTCAAGTCAAAGCTGTTCAACTTTGACCGATTATATATTTATACATGGTAATATTGATAATATGAAAATTATATGAAAATGATCTTTGTTAAAACTACTATCATAAAAGTATAAATTTATTAAGTTTTATATGAATATATTAGTTAAAATAATAGATCAAAGTTTATCACCTTTGACTGTAAAAGTCAAAGATGGCTAAATAAAAAGGGACGGAGGTAGTATTATATATCCATCAAAACTATTTCTCAAAATATACTCGAATTATCTTATTCAATTATTTTATAAATAATTGTGCCATTTTGCAATGAGATCCTTTAGCCGTGACGGAGCTAGTATACGTTATTTATACGAAACAATAATTTCTTTAAACGAGTCTCCTGAAATTAGTTTTATATTTGACTTACTCGATAGCAGAATAAATTTCACTTTTGGTCCTATGAGCATTGCACCGATTCCACAATTGGTCCACGTCTTTGATTTTGACATTTTTTGATACATGACTATTGTGTTTTCATCCTTACATGGTCCTTCCGGCAATAATTCCGGTGGTTAAACTCGTCAGAGAAGGACAATAAATGGTCAAGAAACATTAGTCAAGTACCAAAAGTGGATCAAGTGATAGACGTGGACTAAATGTGAAAATGACATAAAACTCGTAGGACCAAAAGTGGAATTAATTCCTAGATAGGATGATAAAATCTATGATGCTTGAAATGAATTATTAGTCCAGTCGGTTGAAATGTATGAGTTAAGATAGATTTCTATCTTTGGTCCCATTTTAAAATCCAAAGTATTCTTCATTTTCAATCTTCCTCATGAAAAAAAAAAACAAATGTTGGGGGATGTAGCTCTCGAATCCACCAATCTAGTACACGACAACTTATATCTAGAATTTCAACCAATGAAGCTATGAAAGAAATTTGAGGTGTAGCTAGTGCATACCCTTATTAAAGGGTAGATCTGCCTAGGCATAGATCGACCCTGGTTGGTCTGATCCCGGTTCCAAGTTGAAATCGCCTGGTCCTTGCCAAATTCCCGGACCCGGTTCCGTTAATTTTTATTGCCAAGTTTCAAGGCTGAAACCAAAAAAAAAACAATTAATATTTTTTTCCCGTCAGGACCAAAACCGGGAATGGGACCGCCCGGTTCGATCTCAAAATAAGTAAACCGGTACCGAGTACCCATCATAGCGGACAGGGTCAGTCCTCGGCCTAAAACTGGAAAAAACAGACTTGGTCGGGGCCCAAACAATACTTGACCCAATTTCGGATCAGGCTGGGCCGCGGGGCCAAGTCCATGCCTAGATTCGCCCCTGCTCCCATCTAGACTTGCACAAAACCGGCCCGGCCCACCCAACCGCACAAATGGGCGGGCTTGGACATGTACATTTACCTACCGGGCCGGGCCCACAATAACATATGGGCGGGCTTTGGTTAGGGTGTAGGGTCGTTCGGGCCGATAAGCCTGGCCCGCTACATTTAGTGTGTGTGTGTGTGTGTGTGTGTGTGTGTGTGTGTATAGATTTTGGTTCAAGTGAGAAATGCATCTAATGTGAGAAATGAGAATGAATCTCAGCCATTAGATTCGCGAAGTTGCACTAAAATGATTTGATGTTGCAGTGATATTTAAATTTTGCACATGTTGCACTAAAACTGTTTCATGTTGCACTAATATTTGACGACGTTGCACCGAAATAGTTTCATGTTGCACTAGACACGTCTAATACGGATTTTCAGAAGTATTTACAGAAATGTCACCGTGCTAGATTGCATATTTCAGTGCATCATCAAGTGTCTTTTACTGCAACTTAGTCGAATCCAATGGCTGAGATTCATTCTCATTTCTCACCTAAAGGGTTCTTCTCACTTGAACCTTACCCTATATATATATATATATATATATATATATATATATATATATATATATATATATATATATACTAATTTATCTATTTGTTTATATGTACACATGTATATTTATATTTACCAATTTATCTTTATACATATTTATAGTTTATTACGTTTAAATTTTAGTTTTTAGTTTTTAACAACTAGCCCAACTAATATAGTATCTATTTTTGTACTTAAAGATAATACTTTGTGCTTGAATTTTAAATTTCAGATATAGTTTCTCATTATTATTTTTGTGTAAGTATTATTTTTGTATGTGGTGAAATGCCTATAAACATTATAAGCGTATTCATAATTTTCTAAATTTTTTAATATTATCTTTAAAGTATTTAAAATATTATATAAATTTGAAAAATGTAAAGTTTTTCTTGGCCGGGCGGCCCGGTGGAATACCCGGCCCGCTCTTACGGGCGGGTATGGACATGGAGTTAGGCCCACACATAATGGGCAAAAAATTATAAAAAGCCCAGCCCGAGCCCGACCCGAGTCCGAACCCGTTTTTGTGCAGGTCTACTCCCATCCTATGGCAGAGTCAGAAATGTTTGAAGTTTTTATGGTTTATAAAATACACCATGATCTTTTCGACGAAGGGGGACAGTATCGCGGGGGCGATGGGCTGGGAGGGGGCCGGTGTGGTGTGGTGTAGGGAGTTGGTGGGGGCATTTTAGTAGGGGATATCTCCTCTTTATATCCTCTTCCTCCCTCTATCTCTTTCCACTTTTCTTCTTTTCATTCATACCACCTCATATGGTTTTCTCTTTTGCTACCCAAACGACAACTCGACAAGGGAGGCTTGGCTTACCAATTACGATATTGTGTGACATGTACAAGTTTAAGTCTTGTGACTAGTTTCTTTTCAAAAATTTATTAGGGAATCCTTGCTCCCTATACACTCATTGTGGGACCCTTCTCCAACCCTCACATTGCGGAGAGTGAAACTCTTCTCCAATCCTTATCTTGTAGGGGTGCCAAAGTACACCAAATTGCTCTTTAGTCTCCAAATGAAATGGCTCTCACTAGTACTAGTGGATGAGAGCCGTGCTCATTTTCCTAGGTCTAAATGAAAGGAGGGTGATGGAGTGACTTGCTGCATGGTAGATGAATACAGACAATGACAGAGGGAAAAACGTATACACTCTCAGTTTTAATGAGAAATTGTCCTGAATAGGACTAAAACATGGGTAAAGTTCCTAAATAGGAATTCATACTTTATATTCCCTAAATAGGGCAGTCCGGTGGTGCCCGCATCAGTCCGGTAGTAGTCATAGTACAGCAAACGGTTGCGGGGTTTAGGCGACCAAGCTTGAACCTCAGCAAGGGTTTTGTCCAATCACAAATTATTACTCCTATTTACTTATTTAGAGATTTTGAACTTTGACTCCTATTTTTACACTTTGGGTATGTTTTAGTAATTTTAATTTTTTTTCCGACCGAAAGGACGGAATGTGGTTTGCAGATAGATCTATTTTGTCCCTTTTTATTGTTATTTTATCATCATTTATAGGATTGTTTCCTTGGCATATTTCTTCTACTTTTGCTCCTTGTTTTTCTGTAGGTTCCCGTGGACATAGTTCCTGACTTTCCCATTGCTGACCAAATCGTATGTGATTTCCATTGAGCACTTGAAGACTTGAAAACGAAAGGAAGCAGCTCTTGTTTTTGGACACTTGTGACTTGTGGCCAGTGAAGAGATATAACCTTTTAACTACAAAAATGATGTTTGTACCCACTCTTATACCCACTTTTATAACCCACCCATGTTTGTGAAGGCCTTTTATTGTCTGTGAGTTCCGTTCACAGATAGTATTTTGTTTGTGCAAAATTTGCATAGACAAAATAACACATATTTTGTCTCTGAACCGGATTCACAAACAAAAAAAAATCTTCACAAACATGGTGGGTATAAGGTGGGTATGAGGGTGGATACATCAAGCATTGTTTTAACTATTTGCCTTTATCTTTTGCAATAAAAATAAGCTAAAAAGTTTGAATAGACCATTTTACCATTTCAAATCCATTAAAGAATATCATATAAACATACTTACTTTGGAAACACAATCATTCTGTCGTCTTGAATTGCTATAACATGTCATTTTTAAAAAAAAATAAATTAAGAAAGTTGATGAATTTTACAAAAAGTCATAAATTTTAAAAATACAGAAATAGAAATAAAATAATAAAAATGCCAAAATAGATAGGCAACTTTACAACTTTAAAATAAAAATGTTTGAGCTTGTCCTCCAGAACTATCTTCATGCCAAAGAAGAGTTTTGTGGGAATACTTTCAATTTTAGTTTTGCTTTAGTCATATTGGTTTTTATTTTAGTTTGAGTGTGTTTGGTTTGGACTTCGTGATTTGTGGAGTATTTTTGGTAGGTAGTGTTTTAGTTACGATTGTTTTAGGCTTAAAATTGCTCGTTTCATGTCCAGTGAATCCGGTTACTTTGTATGAATTAGACTGATTTTATGTCTATTCCTAGGCATACGATTGGATCTATTATAATTGTATGGAGGTTATCTTGTATGAGTTCTTGATATTGTTATAAAAAGCCGCTCTTTTATACTCCTTCCATTCTTTATTAACTGTCCTTTAGGCTTGGGCACGTGCTTTAAGAGAAAAATAGTCGTAGTATAGAGTGTGTAGGGTAAATGATAACGTAGGAAAGAGAGTATATTAATAAGAGTAAAATGGTGATAAAGTAGGAAAGAGAGTATTAAGAAGAGTAAATTGATGATAAAGTATGAAAGAGAAAGTAGTATGTAAAAAGTAAAAGGGGTAAAAATAATAATGTGGGGTATTTAGCTCAAAAAGTTTCTTAAAATGGAAAAGATAAATAATAAAAAACAGATCAAAAAAAAATAAGTGACGGTGACTAAAGAACAGAGGGATTAAAAAAAACTTTAAAATAAATGAGCCCGGGAAAGTCAAAAGAAATGAAAAAATGAAAATATAAAATTAAAATGTAAAAACATTTAAAAAGATGTAGAAAGTACAAATTATTTAAAAACACATAAAATACAGATTTTGACATTCTTTTTTCCATGAATATTATTTAATTAAATTCAAAAGATAAAAATACGGGTTGTTTTATACTGCCTCCGTCCCGCTAAGATTGTCTCAGGCACTATTCACATGGTCAATACAAATCACTTTTAATCTCTTACTTTATATATCAAACTTTTATCAAATTTGATTCTGGTTTTTGCGACTTTGTAAAGTTTTTAATGTAATTTCTGAATATGTAATTTTTTTTCTAAAAAAAATTTGAGTGCGAACAGGGATCTGTTTACTTTATCTTCAGTCAAACATCGTAAACCGAATTGTCCCAAAATAGTAGAACGGAGGGAGTAATTCTCTAAAAAGTGACATATTACGTGACTAATTCTTAGTGACTCATCATCTATATTGATATTTGTACAACTACTCGTAAACAGTAACTAAACATATATTGTCCAAAAAGCATGAGTAGTCATATTTTTGTCCGGAAAAACTCTTTTAGTAATATATATGTCATTGTTTCTAAAATTTTCGCTATTTTTGAATTTGAACAAGTTTCTTAGATATTTTTTTGTAAAATAACATGCAATAACAGGTAAAAAATCAGTTGATTGGTTGGATTGGTCTACTATTTATAGTAAGTGTACTTGTATGAAACATTCATAGTATATGAGCTAAGTGATGGGTAAGCTATAGTAGAAAAGTTTATTGTTCCTAGAGAATTTTTGTAGTAGCTTACAATTTCAGGGTAGCTTGTTGTTGAGAGGGTTGCAACCTTACCCACGAATAGTTGGCTTTTAGCATATTATAAAAAGACAATTGGAAGCAGAATTGGACTATTTAGGGGTGTTTGGATCTGTTTCTTATAGCTTCTTCTGCTCTTTCAGGTAGCAAAAATAGATATTGGAGTGTTTGGATGAAAGTGTATAGGTATTTTTGGATACTCCAAATTACTCCTAAAAGCTGTTTTTTTTTAAGTTGAGGGAGATCGGTTTCTGAAAAAATGATTTAGATTCTGCTTCTGCTTTTAAAAAAGAAGTAAAAGCAGAATTAGTTTCAAACACCCCTTTAGTTCTGTTCCTATTCTGGCGGAACTAGATCGACTTTGATTGTTTACATATCCACTATGCTCTCGCTACAGAATTGGGTGTGCCGGTTATGCCCTAATGTTGACTGACAATTATGACAAAAGAGGCATGTTTAGACTACCGTGGTGACACCTATTTTGAAGGAAAATTTTACCATATACGAAGTATATCTTTTTTAGATTTATTTCATGAAAATGCATTTTATACATATTTTTGTACACACTCTGTCGGTGTTGGGATATTGGACCGATTCATATTGACCGGCCCAAAACCAGTAAGGTCATCCCTCAATATACTCCTAAACGCCAAGGGAGAAACCCAGATGGTTCCCCCATGGGCTAAACAGGTTCAGAAAGACTGCCGAGCCAAGTAGTTGAGCCATGAGTCTACGAGTGTAAAATTAAGGAAGGGACGAATCTTCGAGATCGGGTGTATGGCATACACGAGCTCAGACTGAACACTAGGTATGACTATATCTCGAGCTGACGCTCGAGCCGGGTGAGCAATCTCCTCCATTGTACCATCACCCACTGACATCTAGCTAAATGGTGGGAAACCTGGAAACATACGAGAATTGCATTTAATATGAGGCTTGAGCTTAGCAAGTCGACGAAGTGTGGGAAGCAGTAACCGTTATGACAGAATGGCCCAACCAACAGGGAGTCCACACGTGATCAATTCCATACTGTCGGATTAGTATAAATACCGCCCTCATTTACTATGGTGGGGCTAGCTTAAATTGCTTAAATAGCATTTACTTTGATCTTGTAAACAAATTCAGTACTCCGTAGCAATTAGTAGAGCAGAATAGCCCTAGAAAATCTTCCATATATGATACAAATCACATACATGTTGATCTTGTGTTTAATCTCATATTTTACTGAACTAGCCATTTATATCCCAACATTTGAATCGACTGCCCACCAAAGGTATCTTGTTGGACACTTGGACCTTTGAACTGAGAGAAAAAAACAATGACGTCGTCTGTGGGAAACCGAATGAAAAACTTCTACTTGACGCATTCCCAAAAAAAGGCAACTCTCTATCAAACCTCTACACCATGTTTAGACATAAAGTACGCAACCAAGAGGATATATCACACAAATTCTCTGTTGGGTGAGAGGCTGAGTGTTAGGATGTAATTCAATATTTTCAAATACTTTGTGAAATTCTAGAGAATTCTAGAACTGTGTGAGATACACGTTCATTTGTACACACTCTCTTATACACTTCAATTATATGCAAGAGTTCTCTTAGTTCATGATCCTGGTAAAAGTCGGCGTGTCGTGTTTCCCCAACACGACTGAGGGATCACTGGACTCAAAAGACTGACTCTCCTGCATATGTTTTACTAATCAAACATGTCATCAGTGCTATTCCCTTGCATCTTCTGGCAGCTGATCATCTCCCAAAAAAGTCATTCATTCAATAAATATAATTGGATTAAATGGTCTAGTTTATGTAGGACAACGAATGAATGGGGTTTGGGAATGAAAGCTTTATCTAGCATTGAAAGTGTCTTTACACTTAAGCTTTGGTGGAAGTGGAAGAATGATAACTCTCTTTGGGCAGTTCTTTTAAGGCCAGGTACCATAGGGGTTCAAATATGAGTCCAAAGGTATATGACTCTCCAATTTGGAGACAAATATGTTCTATACATGGATGATATTGCCTTTTTTCTTTGTGAGGTGAATTCAGATGGAAGTGTAAACTAGGGTGATGGAGTATATGGACTCCGACCCCCCGGTCTGCCAACTATTGGGCTTGGACAGTGGCCCACACACGTTTAGCGGATATCATTCATATTATTGTATATTATTATTATTCAGATGTATCAAATTAGTTTTTTGTACTATCAGTCCATTTATGTAATTGGGTCTGTCGGCCCATATTAGACCCGGATTTCCCTATATATACTCCTTATAGGAGGCTTTGTAAACCGTAACTAATATTCATTCATTCTATACACTTTCATTATTTCTCCTACATTCTTGTTCAATCTCTCTAAATTATAGGATATGGGTATCGATTATCCATCAAATGGTGCTCTCGTTGAGAGGTTTGGCGACCTCGCCCCAGCGCAGCTCCGGTAGCTCAGTTCGGTACTCCGGTCGTGATATGTCAGTCGCCATCACCGCCAAAAGACAGACTCCGACAAACTACCCTTGTCTGTCGGACCTCCGAGGGCCACTTATGTTCATGAGACGTGGTAAAATGTTCCCCTCTCAAGAAAAGGAAGATGTTGACTCGGTCAACATTTGTTCTTTAATGTTCTGCTGGCTCAGCTCCAATTATTGCTCGGCAAGGAAGATTGTCTTTTTTGGTCCAAGAGAGAGCGGGAGGAGCTGAGGAAGGACTAAGGCTGTCAAAAGTCCACTGCATTTATCGGGCCCAAAGCTATTCAGCATGATGAGCCACACCAATGCCAGTTTATTTGTTGGATCAAGCTTTTTTTCAGCACATATGGATCATCTTGTCCAAGCAACATAATTAATATCTGAAAGATAAGTACTCTTTAATTTTCATATTATTTATATTTAGTTAAATCATTCTTTTTGTCGGGTGAATGTCACACGATCACGCACTTATGATCAAATGCCTAGTAGAGTGTGGCTTGAGACCCATCACTATGATTTAAAGTCCTGACCCACATCAGGCACAAAGCCCTGACCAAGATCAGGCACAAAGCTCCGACCAAGTCGGGCACGAAGACCGATCTTAGTCATTCCTTGAGTGACGACACTTGCTTACGAATGGCTCACACATCCATTCTACTAAGTATTTTATCATTACATTGACAATTCACATTTTCACTTGTTTCAAGTAACGAACTCCCGATCAGAAACATAAATCCCAAGAAAAAATTTATATGTATGTCAAATGTGTGGGTACAAAGATGACTTTACTCATTTTCATCTCGTCTCAAGGAGTGGGGGACTGAGAGGTCAGAGTTTTCTAGATGAGCAGAAAATATCATGCATGAGCAGGAACGAGAGCTGAGTCGGTTGAAGAGGAGTTGAACTAGATTGATTATGTCGGAGAAGACTTATCTTCCTTGTTTTTTGTTGGAGGCGCTAGGTGTACTCTTTTTCCCTTTATTAGGATTTTTTCCCACTGGGTGTTTTCCTAGTAAAGGTTTTTAACGAGGCACCTCCCTATCATGGACAAGTGTGGTGGTCCCCCGGTCGAAGAGGAAGAAACCAAAGACAGAAAAACGCTGCAGATACAATTGTGGACTACTCCCTTTCGCCTCGAGTACTCTCGGCTCAGGAAGTGGGGGACTCCTGATGGAGTATATGAACTCCGACTCCCCGATCTGCCGACTATTGGGCTTGGACAACGGCACACACACGTTTAGCGGATATCATTCATATTATTGTACATTATTATTATTATTATTATTTAGATGTTCTACACTAATTTTTTGTACTATCAGTCCATTTATGTAACCGGGTCTGTCGACCCATATTAGAGGCCCAGACCCAGATTTCCCTATACATACTCCTTATAGGAGGTTTTGTAAACCATAACCAATATTCATTCATTTTATTCACTTTCATTATTTCTCCTACATTCTTGTTCAATCTTTCTAAATTACAGGATATGGGTATCGATTATCCATCGTAGGGTGATAGATTTTCCTTCAAAAGTGCATATGACTCCATCAGAGAGAGCTTATCTAGCACCTTTTGTTTTAAGCATGATTGGCATAGTAAGAAGAGTATGCAGCTTTTTCGGTGGAAAATTTTAACTATAAGTTATAACCTTACCAGGTTCCATATGGTGTTGAATCCCTCAATCCGTCCACTTTGTCAGGGTCGGGAGGACTCTATGACTCATTTCTTCTTTGGGAGCCCAAAAGTGAAACCTATTTGATCATATATACTTTATGAAAAATCTTTATGGTTGAAAGCAGGCACAGTGGCATTTTTACACATAATCTTCCCGGTATAATATGCTGGCTACAAAAATGTGACTGAAACTCATTTGAAGAAAAAACCCTTCCGCTGCATCAAAAGCCCAAAATCATCCCAAAGCCTAAATTAGCATCTTCTCTCACCCCCAACCCTAGAGTCCGCCGCTGAAGAGAAGCCGTCCTTGCTAAAGAGTCGCAGAGCCATATCCGTCTCGTCTGCTCCCTTCCGATCCATGGCAACCAACTTCTTCACCGCGCTGAGTAGCATCGCCGCCTTCGTTGCTCTTCCCCTCCACTGTTGCTCATCGCCGCCTTCGTTGCTCTTCGTCTCCATTGTTACTCATCGCCACTATTCCTCTCAATCGCCTTCCTCGTTTTCTTCTCCTCTTCCTCTATCTAAAGTTAATGTTGAGCGGTGGCGAGGGAGATGGGAGAAGGTTGGCGACGGTTGCTTGGTTATGGCAGAGGGTTGGGGTAGCGGTTGTACAGGATGAGTGTTTGGCCACTGGAGAGGTGATGACGGCCATTAGACGGGGCGGCGGACCACCAGATGTGGTGGCGCGGACATGGTGGTTGTTGGTGATAGTTGGTGGTCTACCGTTTTGCAGGAAAAGGTTGGCGGAAAAATTTTCCTGTGATTACGACATGTTTTACCGCAACAGGTTCCAAACATGTGACCTGCTTAATCACATTTTTGACCTTTTAAAAAATGGTCACATTTTTGGAAATCACCTTAATTTGGTAATATTCAAAGAAAAAGCCCAATGTAATTTGAATAAATCGTTTATGCTCGCAACTGGACTTCTAGCTTATCTGGTTAAGATATTTGTATAGTAGATGAAATTCTTTATGAAGAAATGCTTTTTCCATTTTTTTTTTCGTTATCGATCGGGCGTGGCTGAGAGAGCAGATCGATGGCTTAAAACTGAGGCAAGCTTCTTACCTCACAAAGCAGGAGGGGGTGTGATTATGAGGACTCAAACGATCTATTAAGGATTTGGATCATCTTTTTTTAAAATTAGTCAAATTTAAGGGAAAATCTCATATTTTTTTCATTGAAAACATGTGGTGTTGCATATATATATATATAAGGATTTGGTTTTTCACACTTACATGATCGAACTAGCCTTTAAGTATGCATCCGAGACAGGTCTATTAATCTATTACAGAAGATTGTTACAACATTAATTTCCTTTTAGTAATAGACAAAGACAATAGGAGTCGAACCGGTTCTTGTCAAGACTTCCTAAACCAGCTAATTTCAGTCAACTCCACCATACACGTGAAAAGACGACATTTTGGAAATGACACTATTCTCTAGCGGTAAGAACATTTCCTTTTTTCACAACTAGTATAATATCCGTGCGATGCACGGGATATCTAGTGGGAGTAGAATATAATACGTAGTAATAACAAAATAGTGGGAGTAGAATTTGAGCGGGAACACTGTAGTTAGCTTTTTTAAGGAGACAGATTTGATTAATTATTAATTATAATAGTGTGAGATGTGTAGTGATGATTTTTTTGGAAAAGGACCTAGAAGCAAAAAAAAAGTGAAAAAATGCACAAACAATTGGGCAGGGTGATAATAATTTAATGTTGATTACAAATTATGAATCGGATTGTTTACATTCTATATTTCTATTCAGGCCCGTATACCATGACTGCTCATCACTCAGTAATTCTGTTAAGGTACAATAATATACGTAGTACTAGTATTATGATATGAGAGGATGAACAGGTGAGAAATAACTATTGGTCTCTTATATAAGGGCATCCCCATTCATAGGATTATTTGAAGATTAAGTTGTTGATGTGGCGGATTATTTTGGAGATCATGATTGAGTGATGAAGTTTATTTGACAAAATAATCCAGGATTGAAATATGAATCCAGATTATCTCAAGATTATTCTAAATGTAGTATTAATTACTGAGTGTAGGACCCACAAACGATCTGATTATTTTGAGATGATGAATGACATAATTTTGAAGGTATGAGTTTATTTTGAAAAAACCCACGTGTCATTAAAAAATGTTTATTCAAATTACATCGGTATACGTGGATGCTCTAATAGGCTCTTCTATATTCCATGAGTGAGAGCTTGAATACAAGTATGTTGAAATGCAAAAGAATACTTTTGTATCGGTCACTTCATGATTGCAGCATGTCAATTCAAATCTCTTTTGAAGACATATTCTAGAGAAGAAAAAAGGATGACACCCCATCCCTGAGGGTCTCCCAACACCGACCGGACAGCACGATGGGAGGATGTAAGTTGGACTATAATCACAACCTGACAGATAGAGAGTGGGGCTCCGTCTCCGGTACTTGCAGAGGCCCTATGCATTTTTCAGCATAGTAACCTCTTATCGCAGTTGCCGGGATTCGAACCCGAGACTTAACCCTTGTGGTACTCTCTCGCTACCAGTTGAGCTACGCCCACCGGTGACATATTCTAGAGAAAAATGGCACCAGGTTGTTTGTTTTGTTAGATTAATAAGATCTACAATTTGAGAATGAAAACTACAATGAAAAATGCCTAAATCAACAAATGACTAATACATTGAGAGACATCACATCACCGTTTGCTTCACGAAAAATTGTGATTTCTTTTGCTTAATTTGAATCCTAATTCCTCAAAAAATGAACTCAATAAATCACTTGAAATAAATGTATATTTTATGATCTTATTAAGTTTATAATTATAACTCTATATAATTAAATTGAATCTACAATTTTAGAACCCTCTTCCTTGATAAATCACATTTAGTTAAGTTTCGCACTACAACATTTCAACATCTAATGTATTACCCAAAAGTGTTACAATAGCACTGAAAAATATTACATTAGAGAAAATGTAACACTTTTTTATCATTACATTTGCTCATGTTGCATTTGACCTATTGTAACACTTTATAGTCCCTAATGTAACATTTAAACTTCTAGAAAGTGTTACATTAGGTCTAAAGAGTGTTACATTAGAGAAAAATGTAACACTTTTATAGGTATGTTACATCTTCAATGTTACGTTAGGTCTTAAATTGTAGTAGTGTCATTTCTCATTACAATAGTGTTATAAAATGCAACAGAAATTGAGGTTTGAAACATCAAAGTTTGGTATATATGGCACTGGTGTTCTTCAAAATCTTGGTTTATATGAATGACCACATCATTGAAATATCATAACATTGTTTGCAAGTTCGTTAACTAAGTATTCAAATTCCCGGAGATGTTTTAAATTTCGTTTTTTTTGAAGGATCAAATTTGAGAATTTATGAAGCGATAATGTAGTTCTCATAATTTCTTAAGCAATATGAGGTATTGTTTTTTGACTAGAAAGAGTAATTACCAGTACCTCCGTCCTGTAATGGTTGTTTCACTTCAATTTGGCACGATTATTAATGTAGTGTTTGAAAAGTAAAAGTTGTGCTTGAGATTTGAGTAGAATGAAGCGAAATGATATTTATCTCAAATTTCTTACCAAAAAGGGAAACATGACATTCATTTTGGGATAACCCAAAACGGAAAGTAAGACAATCAAAATAGGACGGTGGGAGTAATTAATATACTCCGTACAATTTTAAGCAAAAAATTGTAAAATTAGATAATTGTTGAAATATTATTGAATTAGTCATCTTCCAACTATTCCTGATTAGGAATTATTATCACCATTATATAAATAATCAGGAAATCATAATTATGATTCTAGATGATAATTGTGTGGTTCACAATTATCCTCTAATCCTAATAAACTTAACTTTTCTCCTATAAATAGAAGTCTTCTCCATTGTAATTAAACACCATGGTTACACCATTATCACACTTCTAATAACATCTTTCTCACTAAGTATTCAGACTATACTTTCTCTCCCTGATCTTCTGCTTATTTCCTTCCATTTTATAACACGTTATCAGCACGAGTTTGCTCCAAAACTCTGAAATCATCATCTTCCCAGCAGGTATATTTTTTCACAAATTTATCAACTTATCTGAAAAAAGAAAATTAGAGGTTGAAAAATATAAATATATTTATGTATATTCAAAACTATAAGAAGTATGCTCTATGGTTGCCCAACATTTGGGATCCTCCATATCAGAAAATTATTGCTATATTTTCTGTGAAAGAAAATGAAGAAGCCGAAATATAAACATATTTTGAATCAATATGTTCTTCAAAATTCTATTATATATACATATATTAATTTATGCTGCGTATATATTTTATTTATAAAAAAAAGGATGCGGAGAGAATCTTACTTTTCGTATTATGCTAAAAGAAAAGTGTAAATGACATACCTCTACAGTAATACTCCGTATGTTCTTGAAATGAAACCTACTCTTCTTGAATAAACCATTTGCTCTTTATAAACCTGTAGGTTGTAGGTTATTTCTTTTCAGAGAATGTATATAAAACCTTCCGCTCTAGAAATTTAAGAGAGTAGTAAAATATAAGAGGATAAGTACTGCCACATGTGAGCTGTTTTCGCAGAACTCACGGGTTTATATAATACAAACAAATAGTAATATATCACATATATGTATAGTATGGGTGCATCCTACTTCACATGTACTCGTATTATTTAAAATAAAATACTCCGTAAATAACGAGTAGACGAAAATTGAATTCTTCTAAGATAACAGAAAGAGATATCGAGTAAACTGAAGAATATAGTAGTAGTGGATCTCTCAATATATATGTGGGTGAATACAACTCATGAATGAGCTAGGTTAAGTAGAAGCCCCACAAATTTATTACTACCTCCGTAACATTGGGATGTTCCCATTTGAAAAGTAGGTAGATTAAGAATAGTGAAAGGAGATATGTATTATTAGGGGTATGATGGGAAGATACTGAAATAATGTGATGGAATGAAGGATAAATCCAAAAAAAGTAGGTGTAATAGTGTATTATTTTTAAAATTATTGAGGGTATAATGGGAAGAATTAGAAATGGGAAGATATTAATGTTACGTCCAAATAAGGAAAGTGGGAAGATATTTACGTTACGGAGGTAGTATTGAGATACCCGTTGTTGAGAGTCTTCTGCAAAAACTCATACGACATATACATGTGAAAACCATAAATGCATTTATTTTTTTCTGACTTTCAATTTCATAAATAAAATAACAATGAAATGCAATAGAGGACAATAATGAGTGGGCAGAACTAACACAAATCTGCACAAGTGCAGAGCCTTGTTTTTCGTGAAATTTAAGACAAGGCAACTCATTTTTATTTCAATTATTTATTTCATTTATTTATTCGGAATAATAATAATAATAATAATAATAATAATAATAATAATAATAATAATAATAATAATAATAATAATAATAATAATAATAATAATAATAATAATAATAATAATAATAATAATAATAATAATAATAATAATAATAATAATAATAATAATAATAATAATAATAATAATAATAATAATAATAATAATAATAATAATAATAATAATAATAATAATAATAATAATAATAATAATAATAATAATAATAATAATAATAATAATAATAATAATAATAATAATAATAATAATAATAATAATAATAATAATAATAATAATAATAATAATAATAATAATAATAATAATAATAATAATAATAATAATAATAATAATAATAATAATAATAATAATAATAATAATAATAATAATAATAATAATAATAATAATAATAATAATAATAATAATAATAATAATAATAATAATAATAATAATAATAATAATAATAATAATAATAATAATAATAATAATAATAATAATAATAATAATAATAATAATAA